AGCCACGTGACCATACTGACCATACTGAGCAATGAGAAGCGCATCAAGGCTGCTTCTTCTGGTAAGGTGTCCTAGAAGAAAATGCAGTCACCTGATCAATGAGTGCTTGCCATTGAGAGCATTATGATTGATACCCACTCCAGGGGCTGTTTAATGTGATTCTACAGTTGTAGCATGAGGCATCTATGTGCAGCAGACTCCGGAAGGGTGCCCAACATATTTGAAGTTCGTTCACCTTTTCAAATTTCATGAAAAGGTGAACTTATTTAAGATACCACAAAATCAAAAATAGCAAAATTTATGCAAAATTAAAAAAAAAAAAAAACAATGTCTAGACTGGACTTTTAGTTCTAAATTTCCATCAGTTGTTGCTATGAGGTTCTTTAGCAGTGAGCAGTGGTGGTTGATCTGTCATAGGATGGTGGCACCAATCTCACTCAACTGAGTCAGCAGTGTAGGACCAGTGGAGCCTGTTCACCCCTTTTAACTGTTGTAATGAAAAGCATCTCATCATATCCTCCCTCTGTCATGCCCTGACCTGGCCACTACTGTGTACAACGACTCACTGTCGGCTGCCCTCGACCCCCTGGCACCCCTAACCACTCATCACACCAGACCCCAACCGCTTCAACCCTGGCAAAACGACCACACGAAATTTCTCAAACGATGCAGTCGCGCGCTGGAGCGCTTATGGCGCAAAAAACAGATCCCCTCGCGTGTTCTCCCTCTACAAAGCCGCCTATCTCACCTACACCAGCTCTCTCCACGCCGCCAAGCAAGCCTATTTCGTAACCCTTATCAACACCCTCTCCACCTGTCCTCGCCGGCTCTTCTCCACTTTCAAATCCCTGCTCTCTGCTCCCCCCCCCCCCCCCCCCCCCACGAGATTGCCAATCATTTCCAAAACAAGATTGACGCAATCCGTAAGGACATTGTCAACTCACATTCTACCTCTCCCACCCAGCCCCCTGCCCTCCATCAACCCCTCAACCCTCCCCTCCTCCGACCTCATAGCCGCACTACCCCCCACTATGCCTAACGCCCCGCACATCACCTCCCCAACGCTCCGCTCCTTCAGCCCAGCTACCCCTGAGGAGGTCTCTAAGGTCTTCACTGAAGCCCGCCTCACCACCTGCCCCCTGGACCCTATCCCCTCACAGCTCCTCCAGTCACCCCCCCCCCCCCCCCTTCCATCATTCGCTCCCTCACCCACATCTTCAATCTCTCCCTCTCCACTGGCACTTTCCCCTCCCCTCTAAAGCACGCGCACATCACCCCCATACTCAAAAAAAAACCCTCCCTTGACCCCACTGACCTGAACAACCTTAGACCCATCTCCCTGCTACCATTCACTTCCAAGCTCCTTGAGCGCCTGGCCTACAATCGCCTAAGCGCCCACCTCACTGACAACAACCTCCTTGATCCTCTAGTCTGGCTTCCGTCCCCTACACTCCACCGAAACCTAACCACCAAAGCTAATGGCCATTACTCTGTCCTCCTGCTCCTTGACCTTTCCGCGGCCTTCGACACTGTCGACCACCCTCTCCTCCTTACTAAACTGCACTCCCTTGCCATCAGGGACGCTGCTCTCTCCTGGTTCTCCTCCTACCTATCCCAACGCTCCTTCAGCGTCACCTATAACACTGCTACCTCCCCCTCTCCCCCCCTCTTTGTTGGAGTCCCCCAAGGCTCTGTCCTCGGACCCCTCCTCTTCTCCATCTACACCTCCTCCCTTGGCAAACTAATACACTCCCACGGCTTCAATTACCACCTCTATGCCAAGGACACACAAAATTTACCTCTCCACCCCCCACCTCACCCCCTCAATCTCCGCCCGCATCGCCCACCTCCTGAACGACATATCAGACTGGATGTCGCTCCATTTCCTCAAATTAAACCTCTCCAAAACGGAGCTGCTGGTCTTCTCCCCACCTCACATCCAATTACTATCAAGATCATGCAGGCTCCACCTCCGCAACATCTCCAAGATACATACATTCCTTACCCCAGACACTACTAAACTCGTACATTCCCTCATCATCTCACGCCTGGACTACTACAACTCCCTTCTCACTGGCCTACCCAAACAAACGCTATCCCCATTCCAGTCGATCCTGAACTCAGCGGCTAGACTCATCCACCTCACCAACCGCTCCACATCCGCCACCCCCCTCTGCCAATCCCTTCACTGGCTCCCGATTGCCCAGCGCATCAAATTCAAACTGCTAACTCCTACAAAGCCATTCACAACACCGCCCCAAACTACATAACTGACCTGATACCCAAATACCACCCTACCCGTGCCCTTCGCTCCTCACAGGACCTCCTACTCTCTAGCTCCCTGGTCTCCTCCTCCCATGCCCGATTGCAGGATTTCTCCAGGACTTCCCCCATCCTCTGGAACTCCCTACCCCAATCCATCAGACTGTCACCTACCCTCCTCACCTTCAGACGCACCCTGAAAACCCACCTCTTCAGGGAAGCCTACCCCACCCTCACCTAACTGACCTCCTCCACTCCTCCCACCACTCCATCCCCCACAGCCATTTCCTCCTGTACCACTTTCCCCTCCCTCCTAGATTGTAAGCTCGAAAGAGCAGGGCCCTCGAACCCCTCGTGTATTGTATTGTTTCTATCTTGTCTCATGTTCTGTTCCCCTTGCTGTTATACAGCGCTGAGCAAACCGTTTGGCGCTATATAAATACTGTATAATAATAATATCCAAAACAGGCCTTTCCAAAATTGGTTAGCTAGCAGTTATGTCCACAGTACAAATCAATAAATCAATCTCTTAGGTTCACCCAACTTAGACAAATCTACATTATACGTATAGTCAACAAGGAATTATGTGCATGTTTGGCATTTAGATCATCTTGTGAACTATCAATGCAACACCCTGGTTTAAAACAAGTAATGCTGAGATTTTTGCTCTACACCGTCCAATAGTAAATATGTAGTTTCAGATTGAAACCTGCAATCATTAAAATATGAAGGTGCTAAAAACTTACAGCATACCAGGGTAAGGTCTTACTGCAGCATTCTGGTTACAGATGCACATGGTCAAACTTTAATCATGTTCTCCAATGTCAAGGCCCTAGTTTGCAGCATTGTGATTGCAAATGCACAATGACTAACCTTACTCATGTTCTACAATATCAGGTCACAACAAAGTTTTATCACCATACTGCTCAGCAAGGGGTTTCCGGTATCATCTGATAGCACTCAAATGCAAGGATTGAAACTAGTCGGACTGAGGGAAAACCATTTTTTGGGAAAACCATCAATGGGAAACAAAGCCTAACACCAGGTCAGATTCCCTGCCAGGTTTATATTGAGGTATGTTGCCTCTTTTCTCTCTTTGCCTTCATAGGCTGCCAGAGGGTAAAATCCACCCAATGGGAAATTAAACAGCATTAAAGATTTGATGAAACAATTTACTTTTTCCAAGCCTGTCCAACAATCCATAAATGAGGCAAATGAAGAGGAGAGGAGACTAGGAAACATGGAGACTAAATGTGTGCATGAACAGTCCAAAGAGGTAATATACCTACAATCTATAGCAGGGCTTAAAATTTCAAGTCCTGAGCTACTAGCCAGGCCTTAAGAGTTACTCGCCACCAACAAACACAAACAGAGACACCTGTACACACACACACACACACACACACACACACACACACACACAGTACAGTTGTGTTCAAAATAATAGCAGTCAGACATCTCTAACCTGATCAATCACTGTTTTTGGTAGAAATGATATTTCTACATGGCAAATAATACTAGCAGGTGTAGTAGAGTAATAGAAATCCAACAGACCCAACAGTCATGACATGCATGCTGCTGATTCTGTGTCATTAAATCACTAATTGAAAGGGGCATGTTCAAAATAATAGCAGTGTGGAGTTCTATAAGTGAGGTCATTCATTCTGAAAAACAGGTGGCAATTATTGCCCTTATTTAAGGAAGGAAGGCAGCAAATGTTGTACATGCTGGTTACAGTGCATTTCTCTCTGAAATTCTGAGGAAAATGGGTAGTTCCAGACACTGTTCAGAAGAACAGCGTACCTTGATTAAAAAGTTGATTGGAGAGGGGAAAACATATAAAGAAGTGCAGAAAATGATAGGCTGCTCAGCTAAAATGATCGCAAATGCTTTAAAATGGCAACCAAAACCTGAAAGATGTGGAAGAAAGCGAAAAACTACCATTCGAATGGATAGAAGAATAGCCAAAATGGCAAGGACTCAGCCAACAATCAGCTCCAGGAAGATCAAAGAAGGTGTAAAGTTACCTGTGAGTACTGTTACAATTAGAAGATGCCTATGTAAAGCCAAGCTATCTGCAAGAAGCCCCCGCAAAGTCCCACTGTTGAAAAAAAGACGCGCTGAAGAGGTTACAATTTGCCAAAGAGCCCATTGACTGGCCTAAAGAGAAATGGCACAACATTTTTGTGGACTGATGAAAGTAAGATTGTTCTTTTTGGGTCTAGTGGCCGGAGAGAGTTTGTCAGATGACCCCCAAACACTGAATTCAAGCCACAGTACACTGTGAAGACAGTGAAGCATGGTGGTGCAAGCATCATGATATGGGGATGTTTCTCATACTACGGTGTTGGGCCTATTTATCGCATACCAGGGATCATGGATCAGTTTGAATACATCAGAATACTTGGAGGTCATGCTGCCTTATGCTGAAGAGGAAATGCCCTTGAAATGGGTGTTCCAACAAGACAAGACAACAAGAGGAACATCTTGGTTCCAGACAACACAAAAATTTTAATATACTTTTCTTCATGTTTTGATTTGGAATAGAATGTGTAATGTTCCCAATGCATTTGTGTGTATGGAAATAAACGTTATTAGAAAAGAATTCTGAGCTTTATTCACTTTTTTCAACACACTGCTATTATTTTGAACACAACTGTACATACACACACAGAAACATGTACACACACGCACAGAGACACACACACAGGCATGTGCAGACACGCATACACAGACACATGCACATACACACACAGAAATACACAGACATGTACACATACACACAGACACATGTAGGTACATACACACACAAACATGTACATGCACACAGACATGTACATAACGCATACACATGTACAGATACACACATGCACATACACACAGACATGTACATGCATACACAGACACACACACCCCTATAAAAAGTTGCAGTACTTCATTGCTCACTCACAGAGCCGGGTACTGCACTCTAGGGGGAGGCAGAGAGCACAGCACACACTCCTTCCTTTGCTTTCACTGCGCTCAGCTATTGAGCAGTCTGACGGCTCCCAGTGCCAATGACAGATCCGGCCTGAGCTCCGAGCCTGCTCAGTAAGACAGCCCTGGGGGACACACTCGCCCCCCCACCATAATTTCTACTCGTCCTTGGCGAGCAAGCAAGTGGAAATTTCAAGGCCTGATCTATAGAATACATCCCTTCTACTAGACACAACGCAACTTTATTCTGTACCATAACTTATGGACCAATAGAGATGAATTTTTACTTTAAAATTCCCAGAAACCTGTGACATAGAATGAGAGTACAATCCCAAAGCCATTACTCAAATTTTAAGTAATGTTGCTTATCTATGCCTCAGATCAACTTGGGCCAGTTCTGTCAAAACAGACCACAAATCGGCAAAAATTCCAAACAAGAACATCAATGTCAATGGAGACATATGTTGACATTTACCGGCAGGAGTCCCAGGTGACAGCTTCAACCATATTTGGCCAAATGACAATGGCCGAAGCCAGGCAACACGGCGTGCGCGAATTGGTGGGTGACAGGCCACCATGGCTGATAAGGACTACTTCATTGGACATTGTGACCAACTTGTATTTCCTCACTGCATGCCATGATTGACACTGGATTTACTTCACAGATCAGCAATTTGTTCAGGATATTGGCACTTTTTTTCTTTTTCACTATTTGCGGGAACTAATATACCCCTTACACATTTTCCCTGGGAATTGGCAAATACCTGGTCACCCCCTATTACAAAGAGGGTTTCCAGATTGTACCATAATTCCCCCGATATCACTCCATGTCCTTTTTTTTGGGGACATGCAGGTAAGGTAAGAGGCCTTTGTCCCTCAACATAGGCATATGGGTGCATTGCAGGAAGGTTGGGGGGGGGGGGGGTTGTCACCATCAACCCCTCCCGTCCCACCCACCTTGCAGGGTAGCCCACAATGTTGAAAGGCAAGTGGACTGGAAAGGTAGAGGAAGAAGAAGAGGGGCATGCTCACTGACCTCCATTCCCTGGCCAACCAAGCTGCATGCTTACAGAAGGGTCTGGTTGGAATATTAAAGTGGAGCTATACTCACCCCTTATCCAACATCCTGGAGCTCCCTGCTGGCCGCTGAAATTTTTACCCTGGTAGGTTCCAGGTACTGATCCCTGGCCATTGGCCAAGCTGTGATGACATCAGTTTTCATTGGTTAGGAAATTGCAGAAATTCTACACTGCGCTACACATGCACAGCTCAGTGTACAATGTGGACAGGCAGATATGTAACTTTAATGCAGAAGGTACAAAGTGCATCTCTTCTGCATTAAAAATACTGCCTGCTCCTATTTATTTTTTAAAATTTAAGCTCCACTTTAAGGAGATCCCCATGTCTTCTTTTGCTCCATGAAAGTGTACTGTCACCTTAAATTTAAACATTATCTGTCTGTAGGAATTTCACGGTGACATTGACCAAAAAGTTAATTTATGATAACGGATGATTCCCTTGATTTCCCAGAAGTGATGTTTAAAACTTAAAGTGATGGCACACATTACAACAATTACACTAAGAAAAAAAAAAGTAAAAAGAAGCTGTAACCATGCAACTGCGTTGCATCATTTCCTACGGATTGCATCAGACATGTGCACTCTGCTAATGCATGTAACTATACAAATCTGTTTACAGTGAATGTGTAGAAGCCGCATATCTGAGCAGGAAGAACAATCAGGTTCTCCAATCAGAGTCTGGCATTCCTCATTACTTTAATGAACACCAAGTAATGGAAGTGCACTGAATAGCAAAAAGTTAATAAGACTCTGAGATTAAAAGGACCTAATGTCAGCCGTGGAAAGAGAAGTCAAGATCCTAGTTAAATATGTAAAGCAGAGAATCACTGGTAATTCCTGACTTTTCCAACTTGCAGTAATCAGCACCAAACAAATATCACATTGGTGGCTTCTCCTAAGAGAACAAAGAGTTTTATCAAAGAAAAATAATGTTTGCAGACATAAGAGGCCTCACACTGAGAAGATGGCAAAGAAAGGCTTTGGGGTAGAAAGGCACATCATTAAAGGTGAACTCCAGGCACAAACAAAAGACAGACAATCAAATGCAGTTCTATATTAATTGATAGATATTTAAAGGCAGTGTACACTTGCAAAAGTTTTTGTTGCTTTAACTAAGTATTAGTGTACTTATATTCAATTTGTTTGCCTTACCTTGTAATGACGTGAGTGTTGGGGCTACAGTTTGTAGTGCCATGGCTGATCAATTTCCCTATCTCCATGAATTCATTCACCAAGCTTGTCCCCATTAACTAAAGCCAACTTTTTGTTCAGGGTCACACAGTGTCCAATGCATACCTCTCTATTTCCTCTGTGTTGCATCACATATGTGGGAATGCAAATTTAATGAAAGACTGCATAGTGATCTCTGTTAATTGCTCTGCCTGGGTGTGCCTGTGTCAGATCTAATTGCTGTATATATCTCACCTGCAGAACACTAGACTAAGAGACCCATAGAATGTGGGATATACAGTTTCATGACAGGAAATCTCAGTTCTTAGACTGCAGACAGAGGTTATGCATTAAGCAGCAGTTATACCCTCTACCTACTCTATTCAAAATGGAAAAAAAAATTGCCCTTTGTTCTACTTTAAGAAGATACAGATCCTGTAAGACACCTTATACAACTTTTCCGGTACCACCTTCTTCCTTGATGTGCAGCCAGATCATTCCATAGTTACATAGTTAGTCTGGCTGAAAAAGGACAAAAGGTCCATCCAGTTCAACCATTAAAAAAAAAAAAAAAAATTATAATCCTATACCCACAGTTGATCCATAGGAAGGCAAAAAAAAAAAAAAAAAAACCCAGCCAAAGCATGATCCAATTTGCTCCTGCAGGGGGGAAATTCCTTCCTGATCCCCCGAGAGGCAATCGGATATTCCCTGGATCAACTTTACGTATAAATGTTAGTATCCAGTTATATTCTGTGTCCAGTTATATTCTGTGTAAAGAAAGAATCCATGCCTTTTTTAAAGCAATCCACTGAGCTGGCCAGAACCAACTCTTGAGGGATTCTATTCCACATTTTCACAGCTCTTACTGTGAAGAAACCTTTCCGTATTTGGAGATTACATTTCTTTTCATCCAGACGGAAAGAGTGCCCCCTTGTCCTCTGTGATGACCTCAGGGTGAATAACTCTAACCAGAGTTCATAATATGGACCACTGATGTATTTATACATGGTGATCATATCCTTCCTTAATCTCCTCTTCTCAAGAGAGAATAAATTCAGTTCCTCTAATCTTTCCTCATAGCTGATCTCCATGCCTCTTATCAGTTTGGTTGCCCTTCTCTGTACTTTCTCCAGTTCCCCAATGTTCTTCTTGTGACTTGGTGCCCAAAACTGAACTGCATATTCCAGATGAGGTATTACTAATGATTTGTACCGGGGGGGTAATATGATATCTCTCTCTGGAGTCTATACCTCTTTTAATACAAGAGAGGATTTTGCTCGCTTTAGAAACCACAGCTTGGCATTGCATGCCATTATTAAGCTTGTGATCTTCCAGAACTCCCAGATCCATCTCCACCATTGACTCCCCCAGTTCCCCCCCCCCCCCAGCATGCATATTCTTAGCCCCCAAGTGCATAACCTTACATTTATCAACATTAAACCTCATTTGCCACATAGATACCCAATTAAACAGTGCATTGAGGTAGGCTTGTAAGTTGGAGACCTCCTGTAAAGACGTTATTCCACTGCACAGCTTGGTGTCATCTGCAAAGACTGAAATTAGATTTTTAATCCCAGACCCTATATATATTTATAAATATATTAAAAAGTAAGGGTCCCAACACTGAACCTTGGGGTACACCACTGATGACCCCAGACCATTCAGAGTATTAATTTAACCCACTACTCTGAATACGATCTATTAGTCGGTTTTCTATCCATTTACATACAGATTTTTCCAAGCCCGTAGACTTTACCTTACACATTAGCCATGTGTGGGGAACTGTGTCAAACGCTTTTGCAAAATCCAAGTATACCACGTCCACCCCCATATGTCCAAGTATACACCGTCCACCACCCCTCTGTCCAAGTATACCACGTCCACCGCCACCCCTCTGTCCGAGTATACCACGTCCACCGCCACCCCTCTGTCCAAGTATACCACGTCCACCGCCACCCCTCTGTCCAAGGTTTTGCTCACCTCCTCATAAAAAAGAAAAATCAGATTATTTTGACAACTTCGGTCTTTCATGAATCCATGCTGTCTGTTGCTTAAAATATTTTTTTTCCAGAAAGAACTCATCTATGTGGTCTTTTATTAAACTCTCCAGTATCTTCCCAACTATAGAAGTTAAGCAGGGCAGTCCCTAATTACTTGGTAAAGATTTTGATCCTTTTTTAAAGATAGGCATCACATTGGCATTATGCCAATCCAGTGGTATTATGCCAGTCATTAAAGAGTCCCTAAAAATTAGAAACAATGGTTTTGAAATGACAGAGCTCAATTCTTTAGGGACCGATGGGTGTATGCCATCCAGTCCAGGTGCTTTATTCACCTTTTATCTGTCTAAATATTTCTAGATCATATCAATTGTGAGCCAATGTGGATCATCTGGAGCTGTGTCAGTACCACACCCATTATGGACAAGAGCTCCCCCATGCTCCTTTGTATACACAGAGCTGAAGAAGGTATTAACCACTTGCCGTCTGGCCGCTGTATACAGACGGCCGGACGGTGGCAGTCCAGGGGTGGGTTGCAGTTCATAAATGGCACCCGCCATTATGTACTGTGTGCGCTCCCTGTGAGCGCACAGCACCGTGATCCGGTGCCCGCTGTGTCCTCTGGACACAGTGGAATACTGAACGTCGTCCGAGACCTGTGTGCGAGGTCCCGATCACGTGATCAGCGATTGGCCAATCAGTGATCACATGCAGAGTAGTAAGCAAGATGTCACTTCTGACATCATTGCTTACTACGTGTGAAATCTGTGAATGATCACAGAGGTCACTTGGTACAAGGCTATTCACAACAGCCTTGTATCATGTGACAAGCTGTGACCAATCACAGCTCACACAGTAGTTCTCAATGGTTGCAAGAATGCAGCCAGAGAGAAAGAGAAATGATTGCTTTTACAGCCTTTATGGGTGTAAAAGCAATCAGTGTAAGAAAAAAAAAAAAAAAAAAAAAAAAAAAATCTTCATCACCCCCCCACAAGTAGTACAGTGTCACCATGGTGACACGTTACTGCTAGGGTGACAGTATGTAGAAAAAAAAATAAAAATGTAAAAAAAAAAAAAGTTTAATTATACTTTTTGGTTATAAACTAATTTGGGTTATTTTTGGGTTATTTTTTTTTTTTTACTAAAAAGATAACCGAATAAATTTTGGCCAAGATTTATGATGAAATATTATTTATTTGCAAAATTTTATAAGAAAAACACTTTTTTTTTAAAAATTTTTTTGGACTTTTTCGTTTATATAGCAAAAAATAAATAAAAATCCCAGTGGTGAATAAATACCACCAAAATAAAGCTTTATCGGTCTAAAAAAAATGCTAAATTCATATGGATACAGTGTTGCATGACCGCGCAATTGTCATTCAAAAAGTGTGATAGCGCTGAAAAGTGTCCAGACCGGAAGTGGTTAAATAAATTTTCCTTCTCTTTGACCCCAGTCACCCATTCTAGATTTTGTAAAGGGCCTACATGGTTGGACTGGACCTTTTTACTATTAATATATTTTGAAGACTTTTGGGGGGTTGGTCCTGCTATCTTTTGCAATCTGTCGTTCGTTTTAAATTTTTTAAAAAAAAGTGCAAAAAATTTGCAGCCTTTAGAAGGCATTTCCTTTTTGTATATTCGGTTATATTCTTTGTAATGTTTAAACAATGAAAGTGTTCCCTCATTTTTATGAGCGGCACTTGATAGTCAGCCTAAAGGGCACTGATAATAATTAATAAAAGCTCTTTTCTTATCTATAGCTATTTTAACGTTGGTCGTACGAAATGTTTGATTTTTAGGCGTTTAAAACTCGTTGCCCTTGGGAATATATTATTATACAGGATAAATCCTGTATAATATATTTTGCAGTGTGTTCACATGCAGTCTTTTTGAAGAACTCCCATTTCTGTGTTGTGTTAATCAATGCCAATATTCCCTCCCAGTCTCAGAGAGCAGCTCTCAGCCTTGGAAAATTAGCTCTCTTAAAGTTGAGCGTTTTTATATTTCCCTGCCGACAAAAAGAATCCGATCTACTTACTGATGGAGCACACATTGTGAAGGCTGGAGGGGCAGTGTACAAGTGCTGTATACCAGGAAGTTTGGCTTTTTTTCAAGTTGTTCTAGTGGCTCAACTGGTAGGCCAGTTGTACCTGAAATCTTGGAGCGTATGTCTTAAAATGCCTACTGCTCTTCAGTTTTTCACTTTGCTAGCTATGCACTGAATACAAGTTTCCTTGGATCATTTTTCTTGTAAAATTAGAGACAAGAAAATGAATTCTTGTGAATATCTTTGTGCTGAGAAACGACAAGTGCTAAAGGTTTAATCACATCTGAATTGCTCAGAATTGTGACGCTTTTCATCCAATGTCTCAGAGATGGTGATGAACATTCAGAAATGATGATACGCCTTAGGGTTTTAATTTTATACTTGGTAACAAGTACCAACTGTCTTCATACCAATCTCATTTACTTTTCACAGAGATCTGGATGTGTCAGTCTCCTGAACAGCCCACCTTTCATACTTCACCTGTGTCACATTGTTTAAGAGTTTATTTTACCTCCTCCACTCAGTGCAATGCTGGGGTTGTCAATGGGATGATGGAGCTTTACTGTGCAGGCATGGCCAGGGGACAGAGAACTTGCATTGAGGGATGTAAACAATCCCCAAAGGCCCAACGGTTGTCAGATTGAGGTACGTATGCATCTCTGAAAGGTGGGGAATCTTTTAGGTCAGCCTAAAGGGGCAAACAGGATAAGTGCACTTTCTCTGAAGGTGCAATTAACCGTTAATGAAATTTCAAAAGCAGTTTAAATATTTTTAACGCTGTAGCTTTTATTAAAAGTAAAACCTGCTGATCCTGCAATCTCAATGTTTTTGTACAGACATCTCCCAATATGGGGGTAACACCTGTCTCCCAAATGTACTCTTGTGTTGTCATGCTGAAGGAGACTTCAAGCAGCCAAGTCGACACCACCATGTGCAGGCATCGTCCACTATTGTCAATGTCACACAGGAAGCACCACTCTGGATCGGTCCACTCCTTTCACAGCCTCTTACACTCCTCCAGAAAAAGTGCCAGCTCAGCTCACCAACTGGGGGGGAAAGGAAATGTAAGGAATGTGAATCACATGAACCCTTTGAGTAAGTGTTGAGTGAGTGTGAAATCCATGAACCTTTCCTACTCCCCCCCCCCCCCCACACTCTCCATACCCCATTGTGTTTGTAATGTGGATGGATTAATAGAGGAGGATTGAATAATAAAAAGGTGGTTTTAAAATGCAGCCGTCCGGATTTTTCCCCTTGTTCATCATCCACTGTTGTCACCATGAGGGAACCGGAATCGGGCAATGAGGTGAAGTAGAGGCTGCAGCAACTGCACACAGACAGGAAGTGGCTTATAGAAGCTGATGAAGATCAGCAGCACTGGAATGTAATGTAAAAAAAAAAAAAGAATGTAAAAAAAACTATAAAAAAAAAAAAAAAAAAAAAAAAAAAAAAGGGGGGGGGGGGGGAGACCGTATTTTTTTTTTTTCTTTTTAACACATGGCTATAGTTTATGATACACAGTGCTTTACAAACGAAATGTCATCCAGTTAGGGTTTAGGGTTGATAGCTACTTTAAGAACACAGTTGAACACTTTTATTTTTTTGCACTAAAAAGAAAGGATGTTGCCCACATAGCCAACATTCTTAGTGCCAGGCTGTAACATACCACTAGAAATGTACGGGGCAGTGTTGGAGACTGGCCACTCAAGAGAAAAATAAATAGCTGCTACATCGGACTGCCAAGAGTAATGGGTATAACCTCATGCGAAATACACTAAAGAATGCGTGTTTTATTACAAATTTGGAAAAGGTTTTCCTCGTTTTCATTTTCCATGATTTCACAGTACATTCTACAACACTGTTTTTATACTAGCAGCAGCATATTCTCCATACACATCAGTAAATACGGTCTAATACTGTGCCTTGAGTAAGTACGAGCATGAAATACTTCTCATACTAAGATTTTCCTAACATTAATATATGGTGAGTTAATATATTTTTCAATTCCAGGGCAGAATTTTCTATTAAAGTGATACTAAACCCAGGACCCTGCATTCACTATATCTGGTCTCCTGCAGTACACAGAACATGGAAATGCAGTTATTTTCGTAAATATAAACTGCTAAATACCTTTTCTCATCAGTAGTACAGAGGTGTGTTAATTTTTGAAAAAAACAACTTGTCCAGGGACTAAATCGGTGCCCCAATCTACTTTGCATTACAATCTTTCAACGGGGACCCGGAAGGGACATCGCAACCACCTCACTTCTGACTTCTGGGTTAGCACAAGAATGGAAGGGGAGTGGATTTGTCCTCTCTTCTCACTCCCCTCTAGCCGGCGGCGAGCCGGGCCTGCAAATGGGCAAGGGGAGCCCGGGCCACCTCATCATGGGGGGGGGGGGGGGGTGCACGGAGAGGCTGACACTGTGTGGAAGCAATCGGTGGCTGCTGAATGCTTCAACCTCACAGGTGAGCCCTGCTGCTTAGGAATCCAATATCCCTGCAGTATATAGTAGTCTGGTGATTTCAGCAGAACACTGGTTAAAGCTTGTAGAAGGAGTTTTCTTTCTGCTCTAGGAGGATGTGAAACCTCTGACCCACTGTCTGACCAGTGCTGACTGGCCCTGTGCTGATCACATGCACCCTCCCAAGAAAAGAAAAAAAAAAATACACACCAAACTGAGCATGTGATGTGCATATGACCACAGGTTCAGTCTGTATCCAGTGGTCATTTCAACAAGAGGAGGGACAGAGAAGAAAGGAGCAAACAGCCTTTTTACACAATGCAGTGGATTAACCGCTTAGGTTTCACAGTGAGTATATCAAGCATGCTAGATTGTAAGCTCCAAGGAGCAGGGCTTTCCTATCCCTCTTGTATTGAACTGTATTGTTGCTGTATTGTCTCCCGTTATATTGTAAAGCGCTGAGCAAACTGTTAACGCTATATAAATCCTGTATAAATAATAATAATAATGTTCTCTTGCATATACAGACTGATTTTACTGTTCTGAGTTTAGTAACAATTTAAAGCACAAGAGAAATGGTCGGCACATTTTGGGCAATGAACTGTAGGTTACAAATAAAAGTAAAATGTTTTGAAAGGTTACAAACTTACTTCTGGTCAAATTGATTCCATTTATTTTGTTTGTCTGAAAACTAATGGTTTATGTTTTTAAGCTATTTGTATAAAATCTTAATCGAGTGCCTCCATGACACTCATTTTACAAACAAAAAAAATGCAGCCCAGCTCTACAACCAAGCTTGTTGCCAGCCTTTGTAAAACTAACTACAGTATACCAAATGAGCATAGAAGAGGGTGGGGTGTGTCATTCTGCTCTATAAATCTGGTGCATTGGTTTGGAGCTCGTAACTCACTGGCTAAAAAGTAGATAAATATTAAATGTATATCAATATTTTATATTAACTGGTTAAAAAGAAATGTAAATAAAACATCTGGCACTGTACAGAATAAAGAAAATATATAAGACACCATATATCCACTTTAATGTAAACAAGGTCTTGAAGAAGAAAATTCTGAGGCTGATATGCAAATTACAAATTTCAAGGTTTTGAAGATCAAGTCCTTACCAAAGTGAAACCAACCCACACTTTTCTGTCTTATAAATGTAAAAGCCGTGACCCCAAAATGCCTACTGACAGGTTAACTGTAAAGATCAATCATGCCCAAGCTCTGCCTGTCATGGAACCCAATCCTCAGCATGGCATAGGGTTGCAGCCTCCCTTTAAAACCAAACAGATTATTATTACGCAGATTCTGTGGCTTAATAAGGTGGCAATCAAACTCACTTAGTGCCTTATCTGCATTAAAGTGGTTCTAAAGGCTCAAAGTTTTTTTTACCTTCATGCATTCCTTCTGTGTACTGTATCCCCTACAGCCCCCCCCTAATACTCACCTAAGCCCCCTCTCGATCCAGCGATGTGCACTGGAGTTTTGGCTATCCCGGGACTCCCTCTTCTCATTGGCTGAGACAGAAATGGGAGCCACTGGCTTCTATTGCTGTCAAATCACAACCAGTGAGCCAATGAGAGGGGGCGGGGCCAAGCCATGGCTCCATGTGTGAATGGACACATGGAACAGCAGGTGCCCCCATAGCAAGCTGCTTGCTGTGGGAGCACCCGACCGGAGGGAGGGGCCAGGAGAGCCTGTGGGGTACCTAGGAGGAGGATCCAGGCTGCTCTGTGTAAAACCATTGCACACAGCATGTAAGTATAGACATGTTTTTTATTTTCTCAAAAAAATATATATATATATATCATGCCTTTAGAATCTATTTAAATTGGCCTCAGAACCTGTGTAATTAATGTGTTCAGTTTTAAAGGGATGAGGAGGAAATCCCACCCCGGCAGTGCTTAAATAGAAGGATCCTTAGCTCAACATGGCACATTGAATCATTGGTTGCCATTTGGCAAATACAACATGTAATGGAGACGAGACAAGCTTTCTAACGTTGCCTAAGATGCACTAGTCAATCCACAGCTTTACATTTACAAGTGTTCACCAGCCAAGCATAACCACCAAAATTGACATAGTAGAAAAGGGTGAGGTTTCTATGCATAGTTTCCAGGCTTATTCTTCATGTTCAGGTAAATCTAATCATAACCAGGAATACTGAGACATGGTGGTTTAGGTGGTGTGGGCTTATACAGAGGCCTAATGCTGTAGGTGTTCAGTGGAGGTGCAAAGTCACACAAACCAAAAAGGAGAGACTACTAATCTGAGATGGCCTGGGAAAACCTTAGAGCACCATAACAAGATCCCTAGGAGAGCCATACATGACTTGAGTTTTGGCCAATTCCCCTGGTGCTTCACAAGAGAAATCTACAAATATATGGCTAGCACAGGTCACTAGCAAGGCAAAGGGAAGCTTGTAATACATATGGTCCCTGCTCTAATAAAATAGGATAAAAGTATATCTACACTTCCAATAAGCAATACAACATTGTACTCATTCTAGCGGCCTTTAAAAAAAATGCAAACATGATGGATTACCTTTACAAAGGATAAGGCCTGCTTCTTGAAGCATGACCCTGCACTGTGCTCACAACCACACTGTTTCGGAACACCATTAAAAAGGGCTGTTTGGAGACAGGGCACTTGCTCTGTATTGTGCTGTATGACCAGGCTGGTTTCCCGATGCAAATATGTTTGACCGGGACCAGGAGGTTGCTGGCAAGGCTGCAGGAAGCAGGACCTACCTTTAAAAAAGGTCCAAGTTGAACCAATGTAACTATGTAAAACTGCCATAGTTGGAATTAATTTTTTAAAGAACTTCGAGGTCTACTGTATGAAATATGTGCTCAATGCCAGTTGCAAATTGCCCATAATGAACCAGCTTCTGACTAGATTTGAATATAAATTAGGAAGCAAATTAATTTCAAGCATTCTTTATACATCAGGCCCAAAATGGTTTGCCACTTGTGCCACATTCATCGGAAGTGAATAAAAGATCTCTCACAATGAAACACTCCCTAGTGCCAGTTACAAAATATCCTTGAGTAGGGTCTCTATAAAGTGTTATGTAAAGTATAAAAAAAATCTGTACACATCTTCTGCAATTTTTATTTAGAATTTTTGATTTTCTACTTTCAAACTGGGGTTTATCATATGAGCCTTCTACATTCCACAGGAGCTCGTACGTATGGATTTTTGCCCAATCCATGAGGGACGTCACGTAACCGAAACAGAAGAGCTGGATTTATTAGAGACCGGTTTTCTTTATTCCATTTTCACAGCTTGAGATTTATTAGATAGCAAGTCCATGCGTGCAAAGCGGCTTGTCAAACCTCATTACTATCTTCTATAGAGTTGATCAATACAGTCGACCAGGAGGAAACCTGCCTGAGATTTTCAATTAAGCAGATCAGAAGGAACTTGTATTTGCCAAAATGTTTAATTATCCAGATGAATGCATTAATGCTTACAAACAAACATCTAAAAGAAAGCCACAGTTCTCCGGTATCAGCTGGTGGTTTCAACAAAAACTGAAGCCGGACACAATACTGTTTCCTGAAACACTAGTTTAACCATTTTGCCACAAGAGCCTTTGAAGAATGTACTCTGAACACCCAGCCATCTCTGTGCTCTTACACTGCAGCTAGCCTGTAGATAATCAGGCAACAGGAGTATCAAGGATCGAACAACATGGAGCCAAGAAAAGGCCCATTCAGAGAGGAACGTATGACACTCAAGATGCCCTATAAACCGATATCCTGTGGGGATCAACCACAGGCAATCAATCACTAGGCACAAACCACTACAATCTCTCCCATTTTCCTTCATTCCCCAAAATGTTTATCCTATTAATAAACCAAATTTTTATCTTTAGAGATAGACTAAAACAGACTGAAAACAACTTTTAGTCCCTATTCCTACCTGAGCAATTTGAAGCACGTTTCCAAAAGCACTTCACACTCAATATCCAGATTTCCATTTTACTCTATTGTACCTGTTCACATCTGCGGGTACACTCGCACCTCAGCAATGCCTTTGGCCATTTTTCACTTTTTTAGGCTTTAGCATTCTTGTTTTAGGCAATAGAAAGCTAGTTACTAAGAGGAGACAATTGTCAGATGATAAAACAATGTTTATAAGGCACTCTCATTGAGGCCTACTGGGGCCAAAGATGCAGGTTTATGTCTCAAAGAAGCCAACATATTTTTCAAGATTTACAGAACAGACAACAGAGCTCAGGTGTGAATGGGCCCATTGAGAAGAAAAGGGATTCTTTATCTTGAGTGTTGTGTTTCAGGAATCACACACAAAAAATAAACCTCAGATGTGAATGACATCAGTAATTTACAGCTTGTGGACATTTATTTGTGACACATGGTGCTTTAACAAACCACACTTCATTCATTTAGGGTTTACGTCTACTTTAACCAGCACATAGAGGTCATTTACCATTCATAGAGTAGGAAAAATAAACAGTCAATTGGAATGTTAGAAACAACTCGGCCTAGAACAAGCTACCAGAATATTACTATACATCCAAATCCAATGCAACTGCTGTCAACCAGAATATGATGACACTTGGTGAATGAGAACAACCTGTGATCAGGACAATTTTTCAAAAATTGTTTTCCCTCTTCCCTAATCCCAACACTATTCCATAAACAAGTACAGTAAGGCAGCACAATGGCATAGCGGTTGCCTTGCAGCAATGGGATCTTTGGTTTGAAATTCAGACAGAACACTACCTGCAAAGATTTTGCATGTTCTCCCTGTACTTGTGTAGGCTTCCTCTAGGTACACCGGTTACCTTCCACACTGGCAGAGTAATTGGCTATTATCAAAATTTACCCTAGTATGTTTATGCGGGTCTAAAAATCCCAACTGAAGCCACCTATGACAGACTATGGTTGAATGGCAAACGCAGCTCTGGTACCCATTTAAGGCATGGAGCCACCGAAAAGTAAGGTTCCAAGGTTAGAAGTGCACCAAACACTGCAGAATGGTCATGAGGGCTAGGGATGGGGATACAGAACCAGCAGAAAGGAAAATGTATTTAATTTTGGCTTATACTGGAATAAACTTTTTACAAGAAAAAAAAAAAGGATCAGCTGGCTACTCTGAACGTGCGACACCCTAGGCTCTGACCTATGATTTTTCAACCATGACAGACTTGCCTAAAACCAAAGTACTCCAATTCCCAAGTTGCCATCAGAACATTCACAGAGCTAAGGCAGCCTGCAGCCAACCAGCATGTTACAGCACTGACAGCTATGGGAATATACAACCAGAGTACTGCAATGCTCAGAGGTCTACAAGACTGCAGCAAATTAGG